GAAGCCCGCACGCCTAGAGCCCGTGCTCCACAACAAGAGAAGCCATAGTATACACTGGTGCTAAACCCTCAGGTACTCAGGGACTGCCTTGGGGAGAGGGGAATGCTAAACAGGCAGAGTTCTGGATCTCCTTCTTCTGATTGATTCAGGAAAAGTCTGTTTTTATTTGTTTTACCTATTGGACTTTGCTTAGAGTCTCATATAGTCTTAGATGCTATATGCTGTACATACCTTGAGAATAGAGATAAATAGGTTAGTGACCTGTCTATGGAAATTTTGGCAGCCATGAAAATTCCAGTATACATGAATTGAATGAATACTATATTATCCCTATTGGGGATCATTAAAAAAAGATGGAACTGGAGGTTAAGAATGAAAAAGGAAGGTAATATGGATGGTAGTAGTAATAGAAATTTTTAAAATAAAACTTTGGGAGAAATAAAATGGATAAAGGAAAATAAAGCAGTCTTAGAACTGCAAGTGGAATGTGTGTGAGGAAGACGGAGGGATCTGGGGAAGCAGGAGATGGGACCCAGGACCCTGGAAGGTGGAGACTTGGGGAGGTGGGACATAGAATTGGAATTGTAAGAGGCAGAAGTAGACATTCCTGAGATGTCATGAAATCAGAAGAGCTTTGAAAACTAGGAAGAAAGATGTAGTCCAACAGGGGAGGAAGAAAATCAAGTAATCACAAAATTGTAAAATTATAACTATTATAACTAAGTATACAGAGGAGAGGTATATGTTGTGTTGGTACCATGTGGAAGCAATGGCCAAGCTTAGATCTGAAGGAAGTTTCGTACTTGGTGTTAATGTCATTTCTGAGGGTGCCAAGTACCCTACAGCCAGTGCCTTTTAATTCCTACCAAACTACCTAGAGTATCACTCGTTCTGAACCAGTGTATCAAGGAGAGGCATGAAGTGGTAGTGCCCAGCATGACTTTGGCTGATTCTGGAGGCAATACCAGTGTGGTCTTAGGACCATTTACCTACTTGCTAGTTGGTACACATCCAGATCTTTAACCCAGGGGGCAAACAACATGGGAGATAAATTCCCTTTTACTGTTTTTTGAGATGGTTTCATGAGTCTGAGTAGGTTTTTCTTAGTTCAGTTCCAGCTGTCCTATCATTTGTGAATCGAGGTGAATTAGTGGTGAGGGAGATCCTGAAGAGTTTTTATGATAGAAAATGAAAATTAGTCATAAGTACTTATTATCACTAAAACAAAACATGGGAATATTCTGGAATCTGTAAGGAACTAATAGATTCACGTTATTATACGTTGTAATACCACAGTATGAAGCAAGTACATGTTGAATTAATCAACAGGACAGTATTACATGAAGCTTTGAGAAACCATAAACTTATGTTTCAGCACATTTATGATGCTAGATTTCAACTAGAATTTTGGAAAACTTTTTTTTTTTTTTTTTACATTAAGCATGTGTTTGGTTTCAAGTTGGCATGTGGTCACTAATGTAAAGCTTTTCTTTTATAAAAGAGCTGTGAAGTAACAGGAGGAACTTATAACAAAAACCTTGATCTGAATCCAGTCTTCTCCACTTTAGTGAATGGTAATTCCGTTTCTCCAGCTGCTCATCTGATTAGTCAAGAAATCCCTTCGATCCTCTATGGAACTGTATCTGGAGTGCAGTTACTTCTAATCACCTGATCTGTTCTCTAGGTCAAGTCATCATCTCTATCTGGACGACAGGCACTAGCTGATCTTGCTGTCACCTTTGCCCCTCCATAGCCTCTTCTACATTTGGTAGCTAGAGTGATTCTTTAAGAAAAGAAAAGAAGTTGGATCACGTCAGTCCTGATCCTAGGTTTCGCATTTTACTAAATGAAATCTAAAAAACCCCCCCAGAAAAACCCACAAATGTAAAAATCTTATGTGATCTTGGCCCCTGGCTAGCTCTCTCACCTTATTTCCTTTTATTCCACCTCTTGGTTCCTGTGTTCCAGCTACTACAAGCCTCCCTGTTACTCCTGCAACACCCCAGGCATCTTCCCACATCTGGACTTTTGCACTTGCTGTAATTCTCTTTTCCTGTGTGCTGTTTCACTGGATAGCCACATGGTTCACTTTCTCATCTCCCTTAAACCTTTGCTCAAATGTCACCGTATTAAAGAGGCTTTCCCAGACTACCCTCCATGAAATAGCTCTTACTTCTGTCTGTCACAATCTGTTCCCTTAACCTGATTCACTTTTCTTTAAAGCACATATTATCCGACATGTTAATATATATTTATTTGTTTGTCTTTCTCAGTAGCATGTAAGTTCCATGAGGGAAGGATTTTTTTGTTTTGTTTTCTTGTTGTTGTTCATAGCTGTATCCTTAGCTCCTAGAATGGTGCCTCGCATATTAGGTCCTCAAATATTGAATGAATGAATCTTAAATGCATCTTTTGAAGAGTACTTTTAATAAAAAAGATGTCCACTAGATGGCACTGCTTTCAAATTTTATGTAATTAATGTCTGGGAGGAAAACATAAGATCTTTTCTTTCGGTGGCTGTAACCAAAAAAGATCTTTGTGGTGAAGATTGTCATAAGAAATTCTACAATTAATGTGAGGCATATAGAATACTACATTTGTATTTGGTTTTTGATTTATATATTTTTAGATACTTTTTCTAAAATGAAAAACATTTGGAGAAACTTACAGAAAATGACAGCATATTCGTGTGTAAATATCCATTTGATACAGGTATTCAGCATGATAACTGTGGATAAGGTTAGTTCAGGTCCACACATTGACCACCCTCCTTCTGAGGTGCCTTTAATGGAATGAGAGAGCAGAAATAGTTTCCAGAGCCTTTGACTATCAAGCTGCTTGCTGGTTGAAATCCAGCCTAGTGTTAGATTCAGAAAATTATTATTGTCTGTCAGCTGTTCAGTTGTTGTTGCCAATGACTTAGGTACTCTCAGTCTGGTTCCTAATCGACTGGGTATCCAAATTTTGAAAAACTTCCATGTTTCTGGCAGGTGTCACCATCCCTATCCTATTAAAAATCAGCAGGTTCCAAGTGTCAGAGCTTTTTATCTGACTTCTCTGACTAGCACTAAACTCAGCAAATAGTTGCCCTAATCAAGAAATTTACACATTTTCCCCAGACTCTCAAAATTTGCCCGTTCTGCTTTGCCAGTGTCGTCTCATTTCTTCTTGCTTTCATCACTTACCTCATTTCCTCCTTTTTTTCTAGTCCCTGTGCCTCCCTCTCTCAAGTACTTTTCCTGAATGGTCATTTGATCCATTCTGTACTCAACTTTTTACACAACTTTCGGTACTATTCCTTACTCCTAAAGTAATTTTTCCTCTTCTTTTTCAAACCAATGATGCCTTTTCTTTTCACATTGTTCAAAATATACTTTTTTGTTTGTTTGTTTGTTTGCGGTACACGGGCCTCTCACTGTTGTGGCCTCTCCCGTTGCGGGGCACAGGCTCCGGACGCGCAGGCTCGGCGGCCATGGCTCACTGGCCCAGCAGCTCCGCGGCATGTGGGATCTTCCTGGACCGGGGCACGAACCCGTGTCCCCTGCATCGGGAGGCGGACTCTCAAACACTGCGCCACCAGGGAAGCCCCCAAAATATACTTTTTAAGGAATGTTATTAACTAGTTTTATTTTTTTTCTTTCCTGTTTTAGAGTTTCTCTTTCATTTCTGAGTATGGCATATGTGAGGAACTTATTTTATCTCTTTAACATTCTCAGCTTCTTCTTGGAGCTCATTAACTATTTAGAAATGAAAACACTATTCTTTTATACTTTTGTGTTGTTAAATGGAACGTAAAATATAGGATGGTTTTAGTGTATATAGTCCTTCCTCCCAGTCACCCTTGGATGGTTAAGTATGGGTCTGATAAGGTATCATTTTAAATAGGAGACAATTACACTCAAAGATTTACATTTTGTATTTTTAGCCTGAAATATTTGAAATTTCTAATAACGATTATAGTTGCATCTGTTTCAACTTGTCACTCTCTAATACTCAGCCTACCCCATGCATTAGATCTAGCTTTGAGGTCGGAATTCAGTGTTCAGAAAATAATTTTTTGTTTACTAAGGAAATATTGGACACATCCATTTGTTTAGAAAATAGTTTCCTGTTTACCAAAGAACTATTGGATAGCACTTATTTTGTATGTATTTAAGTTTTAATTGAGAAAACATTTTTCTGGTCTGAGACATGGAGATTTACTGATATCTGATTATTAGAATGATAATATTCTATATTCAAATATATTTCATTTGTGAAAATGAAAGCGTTTTTCTTATTTACTAAACATATGGTGCTAGTCAAATTTTCATTTATAAAAAAACATGTTTTTATGTTAAACCTCAGAGATATTGCTTGCTCAGCATTAGATGAGATTAAGAGCCCTTGCTAGGCTTGTGCTATGACTAGTAATCTCTTTTAGTGCTTACAAACAAGGGCTTACATTCCATAATTGTGTATGAAGCCATTTTGCTTATACCTGCTCTTTTTTTTTTTTTAATACCCGCTCTATTGATAAGGCTTTTTTTCCAGTGTTACTTATGGCTTATGAGTTTCCTAAGTAAAATTTATGTGGCCTTAAATATTGACTATTTTTATTTATTTATTTATTTTAATTTTTTGGTACAATTTTTAAAGGTTAACTTTCCATTCAGTTATTACAAAATATTGGCTACATTCCCCATGTTGTACAATATACCCTCGAGCCTATCTTAAACCCAGTAGTTTGAACCTCCCACACCCCCAACCCTATATTGCCCCTCCCCTCCCCTCCCCACTGGTAACCACTAGTTTGTTCTCTGTATCTATGAGTCTGCCTCTTTTTTGTTATATTCACTAGTTTGTTGTATTTTTTTAGATTCCACATATAGGTGATATCATACAGTACTCATCTTTCTCTATCTGACTCATTTCACTTAGCATAATGCCCTCCATTCATGTTGCTGCAAATGGCAAAAAAATATTGACTGTTTTTGCTTGTGCTATTTTTTCCTCCACAGACTGGTTGAGATAGCAGAATCTCGTTTCCCCAGATATTTTAACACTGAAGAAAAATTACTTTTGACAAGCAGTAAAGTTCATCTTTATCGGGAACTCAGCTGTGATGAAGTTCTACAAAGGTATGCTGTCTTAGATTTTGGTATTTTAGTAATACTTTGAAGATTTATTTTTTGTTTTTCATGTTTTCAGCTTCTGAGTAAAAAAAAGTCCCTACAAATTAGGATTATGAGAAATAATTATTTCAGTGTTCTTCATTTACTACTATTGGTTGACGTATTTCTTTAAAAATGAAAAATATTTTAAATGAATAAAATGTTTTAGATTTAACTAATTAAGTGGTATATTATCTACTGTTCCATTAACAAATTACCCCAAAGTTTAGCAGCTTAAAGCAGTAAACATCTGTTATCTCACATAATTTTTGAGGGTTAGGTATCTGGGAATGGCTTAGCTGAGTATTTCAGGCTCAGGGTTGCTCAAGAGCTTGCAGTTAAGCTGTTGGCCAGGGTTGTAGTCATCTCAAGGGTCACCTGAGGCTGGAGAATCTTAGAGAATTCCAGGATCATTCATGTAGTTGCTGGAAGGCCTCCCTTCCTTCCTGGAGAGGCCTTTAGTTCTCATTGTGTGGGTCTCTCCATAGGGCTGCTTACAACATGTTGTTGACTGAAAAAAAAAAAAAGCACACAACCTAAAAGTTGAGAATTATGTTTTATTCAGCAGACATACTGAGGACTTAAGCCTAGGAGGCAGCCTCTCAGATAGCTCTGAGGGACTGCTCCAAAGAGGTAAGGGAGAAGCCAGGATATAGGAGTTTTTGCAACAAAAACAAGGTGAAACATCAAAAAATTACTGTAAATTAAAGAAAAAACAAACATCTTGAGTTAATGAATTTAGCACTTTTGTATGTATGGGAAGATGCAAGAGTCTGGGCTATTGAAATCATTCCTTTGATATGCATCTTAACTGTCTAGGGCCAGTATCTTGCTTTTCTCTATTCTGAATTCCCTCAAGGTGCACAGTCAGGGCAGCTGCAGTGGCTGATGGCTTGATGGCCTCAACATCCTTTGTTTACTGATGTGGCAGGTGACATTTTTGGTCCACAATGGTATCTTGCCTCTGCCAGAGCCAGTGCTCTGAGAGAGAGTGGGCAAGTAAGAAGGAGCCCAAGATGGATGCTGTAGTCCTTCACAACCTACTCTCAGAAATGGTGTACTGTCATTTTGTCATATGCTATTGGTCCACAGGACAACCCTGGTACAATGTGGGAGGGGACTCCACAAGGATGTGAATACCAGGAGGTGGGAGTAAATAGGGACCATTTTGGATCCAGGCTACGGCAAGCAGTTTTGCTCTAAACTGGAGCTTTAGCAGTATCATAAGAAAACAAAGGGGGCTTCCCTGGTGGTGCAGTGGTTGAGAATCTGCCTGCCAATGCAGGGGACATGGGTTCGAGCCCTGGTCTGGGGAGATCCCACATGCCGCAGAGCAACTGGGCCCGTGAGCCACAACTACTGAGCCTGCGTGTCTGGAGCCTGTGCTCCGCAACAAGAGAGGCCGCGACAGTGAGAGGCCCACGCACCTCAATGAAGAGTGGCCCCCGCTTGCCGTGACTAGAGAAAGCCCTCGCACAGAAACGAAGACCCAACACAGCCAAAATAAATAAATTAATTAATTTAAAAAAAAAGTGGATAAGCAGTAAAATCTACATTTGAGCTGATACAAATTGTCAGAAGAGAAATAAATATCGACACGTTTCACATTTGAGGTAGATTAGATAAATGTTTGATTAAAAAGAAAAGGAAACCAAGGAGTGAAGCTAAATGAAAACATTTTGGCCTATTTCCCAAAGTGTGCAATATATATAGAAGAGCTGAAAATAATGTATGTTTACTGAATATCTGCAATAATTACTGCAACTTAGGGAAGAATAATTTGTTGTTTTAAAGGTAGTTAACCTTTCCATGCCCTATTTTTAAAAATTATACCTTAAATTTATCCACTATTTTATAAATTCTGCTTTTACAGGATTGAATCCTTGGAAGAAGAAATTATTTCAAAAGGAGTTAAACTTGTGATTATCGACTCTGTTGCTTCTGTGGTAAGAAAGGAGTTTGATACACAACTTCAGGGCAACATGAGAGAAAGGAACAAGTTCTTGGCAAGAGAAGCAGCCTCTTTGAAGTATTTGGCTGAGGAATTTTCAATCCCAGTAAGTTTTTATTTTTCTCTTTTTTTCCTCTTTCTTTCTTTTTTTCCTTTCTTTTATATTTTCACTTATAACATCAAATAATATAATTTAAAGGAAATTAAAACATGACTTTTTAATGGTAGCACAGTCTAATTGCTATAGCAAATACCACCATCTTCTAAAATGTGTTCATCTCTTGAGATTATTTCGTCCTTTTCACAATTTGAGCCTAAGAAGATTTAAATATTGTTTTCCAAAGTTCCTTTAGTCAGTACTTTTCTTCTCTCTCATTGTTTAGTCTTTGTGCATGTTTTTATATTGCTTTTATCACACTGAGATAAGTAATAAGTATTAAAACTCCATGAAATTGCCTGTGTCTGTTTCTATACAGCTTTTTTTTTTATGGCAGAAGTTGTCAGTTTTATAAGTATTTAAGGTTTAGACATTGTTATTGTGTTCAGTGCTGTTTTGTACACCATAGGATTTGGTTTGCTTCAAAAGCCAGAGGTTGATTTTTTAGGGTGTTTGGAGTGATAGTAATGAAAGCGTAAGTAAGGAAAACTTGAAAAATTACTCTTGGCATGACTTTCAGTAGTGGGAATTGTGATCAGGAAATCTGAAGATGAGGTGTATTTCAAGGGTTTGTGCTGGGTAAGCTATGAGTACTAAGTTATATTCCCGTTAGGAATGTGTGGGAGAGTGCAGTTTGCTCTGAAGTCTCACCAACATTTAGCATTGTCAGGATTTTCAATTTTAGCCATGCATGATCTCAACAGAAGATAGGAAAATTCCTTAAACTGAGATAAAATTTAGTGATGATTTTATAATTTTTAGATTTGTTTGGAAAATTAAAACCTTGGATCTTTGTAACATAGAGAATATGTACTGTTAGTGGAAACTACCACATAGCCTTTGAGATTGATAAACCTAAGCAAGAATCGAGGGGGAAAATGTGGCATTCAAAAAGTTCTACATGTTTTAATGGCTTTTAAATTCATATTTTGGATTATATGGTATAATTCCTGGTGAATCGAGTGCTGTAAAGCTTATCTTGGATGATGCTTATCTTTTAAATTTTATTGTAGTTGCTTAAAAGGACAAATTCAAATCCATATTTTCCGTGGTCAAGGAGAATAAGGAAATTTAAAAATATTTTATAGTTACTTGATTGAATGGAAAAGTTAAGTATATATGTTTATTTTATTCATATTGTTGTCTGACTTAATATTGTGTAAAATATGAAAATTCACTTTTAAAAAATTATATTGTTTGTTTTTATTTATTTAAAGTATTTATTTATTTGGTTGCGCTGGGTCTTAGTTGTGGCAGGCAGGCTCCTTAGTTGTGGCATGCGAACTCTTAGTTGCGGCACGCATGTGGGATCTAGCCCTGACCTGAGCCTCCTGCATTGGGAGCGTGGAGTCTTATCCACTGGGCCACCAGGGAAGTCCCTGTTTGCTTTTAAATTGTAATTGTAGGCTAATGTATTTCAGTTTTTTCTGAGGTGATTATTTATTTTCCTGAGTGAGAAAGGGGCTCTGCTTTTCTTTGTTTTTAATAGAGCCCTCTGAAAGAATAGGTACTTAGTATCCTCATATCCTTCTGTCTTTGCCTTTGTTTTTCTGTTCAGAGGTAAATGCAGAATATAACATGTACTTATGTAACACAGTATGGTATTGGTTTTTCTGACAAATCAGTATTGGTTTTAGAAGGCTTTTGAAAAATACTTCCTTTAGGAAATCTCAGAATTTTCCTAGCCTAATTACCTCACTTAAATGGAAAATCATAAACTTTTAAGCTTTTATGCTATACTTTGAATAGGTGGCTTCATATGGAAGAAAATGCCTTAAAAGATGTGTTGTTTTCTGGTTCATTATACCTTTCAAATTAGCAAACCTTATGCTTCCCGGTACTTAAACGTGCCAACAAACATTCCTGCCCCAAGAAGTGTTTGCTGTTCCTCAGCCTGGAATATCCCTCCTCTATATCCATTATCCATATTGTCTCCTGTTATTAGTGAGGGCTTCCCTGACCATGTAAGTATTAACCACACTCCCTGCCTCTCCATGTCTCTTATTATGCTTTATGTTCCTCCATCATAGTTTTCACCCTCTAGCATTATATATTTATGTTTATTGTTTGTGTGACCTCACCACCCCATAGTACGGTTAAAGGGATTCTGTCTACTTTGTTCATGGCTTTATTCTCAGTACCAGGAATAGTGCCTAACACATAGTAGGCACTCAGTAAATGTTTTTGAATGTATGAATTTAGATACTGCTTTTCTTCTTAGACTTGATTTAATCTTATGTATGTTCATACTGAACTTAAATTTTATCATTTGCTTTTATCTTTACTTTGATCCTATCTTTAATATTGTTTACTATTTATAATAGTAATAAAATATAACTTTAGATGGCAGAATCTTATCATATGGGAGCTGAACTCAGTTCACACTGGTGTCTTACAGGAAGAAAAAGAATTCTTAAGATTCTTAAACTTGGAAAAGGCTTTAGAGATCTAGATAGTGTCACAGAACCAGGAATTAGAAGAGATTTATCTCAGTTTAGTAAAACTGTGGTAAGTGAATGTCTGATGGACTCTGAAGATTGCGTAGAAAGCCAAGCATTCCAGCCTGTTCTTTGGCTGTGGATCTGAGATGGTGGATAGGGCCAGGATGCCTGGCATTTTGATACACTCTAGATATCTTCATTCAAATGAGAGTAAAGAGTAAAACCAACTTGGCTGTGGGTTGAGTACTTCATTGAATTTAAATATTTCTCTACAGTGAACTTTCAGTGCTTTTAAAATGTGGGGAAAAAGCTCAAAATATAATTTGTATTTAATTTCGATTGTCACATTGTGTATATATTTGTATATGGTATGTACAGTTGTCCCTCAGTATCTGCAGAGGCTTGCTTCTAGGACCCCTGCAGATACCAAAATCTGCAGATGTTCAAGTCCCTTATATAAAATGGTTGTCCTCCTTATCCGTGGGTTTTGTGTCCAGGGTTTTGCATCAGAAATTCTCCAAGTAAACACAGCATTGTAAAGCAACTATACTCCAATAAAAATTAATAAAAAATAAAAAACTAAAATGTATCATAGGTTAGAAAAAAAAATTCTCCAAGTGAGAATTTTTGACCCATGGTTGGTTGAATCTGCAGATATGGAAGATGATTATATGTGTGTTTGTATGCAAGCATGCCTGCGTGTGTGGAGATTTCAACATCCTTTCTCAGTAATTGATAGAATTAATGGGCAGAAAGTCAGAAGACTTGGATAACATAAACAGTCAACTTGATCTAATCGGTGTTTACAAAACATTCCATTCAAATGCCTGCAGAATACATATTCCTTTCTGGTACACATGAGATATTCACCAATATAGACCATATTTGGGGACATACAATAAATCTCAACATATTTAAAAGATTGAAATCATACAAAGTGTGTTTTTTGACCCCAAGAGAACTAAACTAGAAATTGATAACAGAAACATGTCTGGAAAATCCACAGACATTTGGAAATTAAACAAAAATACTTCTAAATAACCCATGAGTCAGAGAATAAATCACAAGAGAACTTAGAAAATATTTTGAAGTAAATAAAAATACAACATATCAAAATTTGTGGATTGCAGCTAAATCAGTGCTTAGAGGGAAGTTTATTTAATTAAATGCTTATACTGGAAAAGAAGAAAGTTTTCAAATCAGTGATCTATCTTGTAAAAAATACAAGAAGAAGAACAAATTAAACCCAAAATAAGCAGAAGGAAGGAAAAAATAAAGATAAAAGCATGAATCCATGAAATTAAAAATAGGAAATAATAGAGAAAAGAATCAATGAAATAGAAAGCTAGTTCTTTGAAAAGATTAATAAAATTGATAAAACTGTCACCAGACTGACCAAGAGAAAAACAAATTAGCAGTATCAAGAATGAAAGAGGGGATATCACTGAAGGTCCTACAAATACTAAATGAATAATAAGGGAATGTTATGAGCAACTTCATTTCAGTAAGTTTGATAACTTAGATGAAATGGACAGATTCTTTGAAATACACAAACTATCAAAGCTTACTGAGGAAGAAAGAGATAACCTGGATAGTCCTATATCTGTTAAAGGAGTTGAATTTGTAATTAAAAATCTCACAAAGAAAATGCTAGGTCCAAAGTCTTTACTGGTAAAATCTATCAAACATTTAAGGGAGAAATAGTATCAATTCTATACAAACCTTCCAGAAAATTTATAAGAAAACTACAGAGTGATGTTCCTCATGAACATAAATACACAAATCCTTAAAATATATTAACAAATTAAATTCAGCAAAAAATAAAAAGGATAACTACATCATGACCAAGTACAGCTTATTTCAGGAATGCTTCATTGATTTTGAATGCAACATTAAAATATAAAATTTACTACAGCAACACATTAAAAAAAAGGATCATCTCAGTAGATGTAGGAAGGAAAAACAGTTGACAAAACTCATTACCTATTCATGATGAAAACTCTGAGCAAACCAGTAGTAGAAGGGAACTTTCTCAACCTGATAAAGGGCATCTACTAAAAAACTACAGCTAACATCATACTTAATGGTGATATATTGAATTCTTTCTTCCTAAGATTGGGAATAAGGCAAAGATGGCCCATTCTTGCCATTTCTAATCAACAGTGTATTGTAGACTCTAGCCAGTGTGATATGGCAAGAAAAAGAATTTAAGTATACCTGTATTTAAATTAGAAAAGAAGAAATAAGACTATCTTTATTCATAGACAATATGATATGTTTGGTAGAAAATTCCAAAAATTTTACCCAGAAAGCTACTAGATTTAACAAGTGATTTTAGCAAGATTACAGGATACGAGAATTGATATATAGAAATTAATTGTTTCTCTATATGCTAGTGGTGAACAATTAGAAACTGAAATTGAAAACCTGTACCATTAATAAGAATACCAAAACCATGAAATCTTGGTGATAAATGAAACAAAATATATGTCAGATTTTTATACTGAA